TCCTTTATTGTGCTCATCTTTGCATGAAATGTTCACTTGGTATCTCTAATTTTCTTGAAGAGATCTCTAGTCTGTCCCATTCTATTGTTTTCCTCTATTTCTTTGTATTAATTGCAGAGGAAGGCTTTCTTATCTCTCCTTGCTATTCTTTGGAACTCTGCATTCAGATGGGTATATCTTTCCTTTTCTACTTTGCCTTTAGCTTCTCTTTTCTCTTGCTTTGTAAGGCCTCCTATGATAACCATTTTGCCTTTTTGCATTTCTTTTTCTTGGGCATGGCATCAAAAAAATTAAGCAGTCATCTCACTGTTGCTTTTCAATGAATGAAAGTATTTTTTTTATGACCCCCTTCCCTGTTGACCAAGATAATTTCTAAAGATTCCAGTTATTCCTGCCCCCACCCCCTCAGTTGAAACATTCACGTCTGGGGCCTGCCGTGCAAGCTGCACGACCTCCTGTGAGGGGACAAAGCCCTTGCTCTTGGCCAAATAACTCATTTTGGCCACTGGCACGTGAGCAGAAGGAGCCTGTGCCACATCTGAGTAGAAGCTGCCAACACCATAGCAAGATTCTGCCAAATGCTGTTTTCTTTCTGCAGTGAGGCAGGGGGTAGGGCTGTGTACTAGCCTTGGTGCTGCTTGAATGGATGCCTGGAGCACAAAGAAATGAAAGCCAGATGGCCTGGGGCCAGATCAAGAAACAAACCCTACTTGTTACTCATTGAAACCTGGCCGTTGTTTCTGTCCACATCATAACCCAGCAGACGCTAACACGCACACACTGTGTGGGCGAGTGCGCTGGGACCCCTGAGGCTCGCTGGTGCATTGCATCGCACACTGTGCGTGTTCATTCGATAGGAGACCCTACAGTCGGTCTGCAGGAGATGTTAGGGTCATGCGCAGTTGGTGGGCACTCAGCGATTCAACTAGTTCATCGTTCCAGCTCCACCACTTGAAGAAAATGTAGATGTTTCATCTCATAGATTCAAGAGACAATGACTGCCTTGAAGGAATTAATAGTAGTTTTAAAAAATGATAGGCTTCCCAGGTGGCTCAGTGGTAAAGAATCCATCTGCCAATGCAGGAGACACGGGTTTGATCCCTGGGTCAGGAAGATCCCCTGAAGTGGGCAGTCGACTCTATATTCTTGCCTGGAGAAATCCCATGGACAGAGGATCCTGGAAGGCTGCAGTTCATTGGGTCACAAACCGTTGAACACAAACATGACTGAGCATGCACGCATGTCGTGGGTGATCCTGGAATACATTGTATCTTATTTGGAAAGAAAAACAGAAAATGTAAAAATGATATAAAATGAAAAACACACTTCCCGCAACCAAAAATGAAGGTTAATATTTAAGAATATTTCTTGCCACTCTTGTCCATCTTTAATCCAATGTTTGAATATGAACAAATGTACTTTAATGTAATGCTTCTATAAACTTTTATTCTATGAATTTTCATGTTTTATTAATACTTAAATGGCTATTTTTAAAGACTGTCAGTATATTTTTTGAAATAGTCTGCCAAGAATATTATAGATAATGGCAATATATGAAAGTGAGAATAAGTTTTTATTTTTACAACTTGCATCTTTGGAAAATACCTGTACTTCTCAGCATAACAAACTATTAGTGGGCTAGATAAGGCTAAAATATGTCTGATGCCATGTAATTGGAAATACTTTATGATTTCATGATTGTTCAGGGTCATTCATAGATATTTTATTCTCTTAAGGCCCTAGGACTGAAACAAACCAATGCTGTGTTTTTCAAAGCAAGATGAGTGATCCACTCTTGTTTTCACTTGACCCCTTCATTCTGATTTCTTTCTTTGCTTCCCCCCACTTTTTTTTTTCTATTTGCACCTTTTTGACTAAACTGAGTGATGAGAAAGTGAAGTATATCCCTGGCACATTGGCATAGTCAATAAAGCAGAAGTAGATGTTTTTCTGGAACTCTCTTGCTTTTTCAATGATCCAGAAGATGTTGGTAATCTGATCTCCAGTTCCTCTAACTTTTCTAAATCCAGCTTGAACATCTGGAAGTTCATGGTTCACATATTGCTGAAGCCTGGCTTGGAGAAGAAACAAACCCTACTTGTTACTCGTTGAAACCTGGCCGTTGTTTCTGTCCACATCATAACCCAGCAGACGCTAACACGCACACACTGTGTGGGCGAGTGCGCTGGGACACCTGAGGCTCGCTGGTGCATTGCATCGCACACTGTGCGTGTTCATTCGATAGGAGACCCTACAGTCGGTCTGCAGGAGATGTTAGGGTCATGCACAGTTGATGGGCACTCAGCGATTCAACTAGTTTATCGTTCCAGCTCCACCACTTGAAGAAAATGGTAGATATTTCATCTCATAGATTCAAGAGACAATGACTGCCTTGAAGGAATTAATAGTAGTTTTAAATGATAGGCTTCCCAGGTGGCTCAGTGGTAAAGAATCCATCTGCCAATGCAGGAGACACGGGTTTGATCCCTGGGTCAAGAAGATCCCCTGAAGTGGGCAGTCGACTCTATATTCTTGCCTGGAGAAATCCCATGGACAGAGGATCCTGGAAGGCTGCAGTTCATTGGGTCACAAACCGTTGAACACAAACATGACTGAGCATGCACGCATGTCGTGGGTGATCCTGGAATACATTGTATCTTATTTGGAAAGAAAAACAGAAAATGTAAAAATGATATAAAATGAAAAACACACTTCCCGCAACCAAAAATGAAGGTTAATATTTAAGAATATTTCTTGCCACTCTTGTCCATCTTTAATCCAATGTTTGAATATGAACAAATGTACTTTAATGTAATGCTTCTATAAACTTTTATTCTATGAATTTTCATGTTTTATTAATACTTAAATGGCTATTTTTAAAGACTGTCAGTATATTTTTTGAAATAGTCTGCCAAGAATATTATAGATAATGGCAATATATGAAAGTGAGAATAAGTTTTTATTTTTACAACTTGCATCTTTGGAAAATACCTGTACTTCTCAGCATAACAAACTATTAGTGGGCTAGATAAGGCTAAAATATGTCTGATGCCATGTAATTGGAAATACTTTATGATTTCATGATTGTTCAGGGTCATTCATAGATATTTTATTCTCTTAAGGCCCTAGGACTGAAACAAACCAATGCTGTGTTTTTCAAAGCAAGATGAGTGATCCACTCTTGTTTTCACTTGACCCCTTCATTCTGATTTCTTTCTTTGCTTCCCCCCACTTTTTTTTTTCTATTTGCACCTTTTTGACTAAACTGAGTGATGAGAAAGTGAAGTATATCCCTGGCACCGTGCACAGAGGCTATAGTAATCCTAACTGAACATAATCGTTTTTGTTATTACATAAACAAACACCAGACAGGCCAGTCCACGACTGATGCACCAGACACAAGAATCCTCTGCAACCACAAAATTTGCTCAACAAGACGCTCTTCCAGCTGACAGGGGTAGCACCTTCTTATAGGTAGGCATGACCAACACACCACGTAACCTCACTGCCTGCTTAGAAGCCCCCAGACGCGTCCACATCCGTCCTTCACCTCTCCGTCTCTCTGTGTCCCCTGTGGTGCGTTCTGCATTGGTCAACCAACCGAGTGACCTAGGTGGGCTTCAGTGAGCTCTTGGTGGTCTGTGGAAGGTGGCCCAAGGTATGCATCATATTGTTTTCAAGCACTGGCTCTGTTGCGGTGTTAACAAGGCTTGTAGGAATTTGTTTTAACCCATTTTGTTTACCTCCAGGTGCTGGATTAAATGATGGGCAGTGGCATTCTGTGTCCTTATCTGCACGAGGGGGTCACCTGAGTGTGATGGTGGATGGCGAGGCCGCCCCCCTGGCTCATTCCTTGCGTGGGCAGATTGAGTCAGGCGACACCTACTATTTGGGGGGTAAGTGAAAGGAGCTGGGCTGCACTGGCAATCAAACCATCTTCATCTTTTCCGCTCCTGCCTTCTAAGGCAACTCATTTTTACATGAAAATTAATAGTGAAGAATGATTTTTCTCTTTTAGTTATAGTCACTGGGAATTTTGAGTGATCAAAGATGATAAATTGTGGTCTAAAAATGAAAGTTGGATAGATGGCTTTGTTTAAAAGTGCACATCATAAGGTTAGTTTTAAATTTGGCATGTGTTTTCAACTACGGTTGCACATTGCAATCACCTGGAAGGATTCAGAATGCTGATGCCTGGCTGCATCCCCAGAAATTCTGATTTAACTGGCTCCATGCTCTGTGCTTATGCTTAGGCTCAGGTGGATTCTTCACCTGCACTGTGGTCTGAGCCACCACGGAAGCCCAAGAACACTGGAGTGGGCAGCCTGTCCCTTCTCCAGGGGAGCTTCTTGACCAAGGAATTGAACCGGGTCTCCTGCATTGCAGGCGAGTTCTCTACCAGCTGAGCTACTAGGGAAGCCTGACCTGGACAATAGGTTTTTGAATACTCTCTGGTGATTCTATGTGAAGACAATACTGAGGTTCATTGCTCTCTATTTCTTACCTTTAATACCTTGCCATCGGGAATTTTCCTAATGCCAAATGATGCTTATAATCTTTCCTTCAGCTTTTATGTGCNTGAAGACAATACTGAGGTTCATTGCTCTCTATTTCTTACCTTTAATACCTTGCCATCGGGAATTTTCCTAATGCCAAATGATGCTTATAATCTTTCCTTCAGCTTTTATGTGCCAGGTTTTTTGCTGCGTGTGGGTGTTCTTCTGTCTATTGGCTTCTTTTCTGCCTGGAGCCTGGCTACCCAAAGTGTGGCCCATGGACCAACAGGATCAGCACCACCGGAAGCTCTTAGAAATGCAGATGTACCATCTAGACTTCCTGAACCAGAATCTGCATTTCACCAAGATCCCCAGGAGATCTGCTGCATTTTAAAATTTAAGAAACTTGAACTTCCCTGGTGGTCCAGTGGTTGGGATTCTGCCAATGCAGGGGACACGGGTTTAATCCCTGGAATGGGAAGATTCCACATGCTAAGGCAGCTAAGCCCATGCACCACAACTGCTGAAACCCAAGGCCCTAGAGCCCATGCGCCCCAACCAGAGAAGCCACCCCAATGAAAAGCCCGCACACCACACCTAGAGGGCAGCCCCTGCTCACTGCAACTAGCAAAACCCCTGCTGCAACGAAGACCCAGCAGAGCCAAAAATAAATAAGTAAATAAACAAGTTTTTAAAAAGATGTCTATTCCCACTGCCTAATACAGAAGGGCATCGTTATATACAACAGACGAAGAGATTAATTCAATGGCTGTTACTATGTCACACATGCGTGTTCAGTCGTGTCCTACTCTTTGCGACCTCATGGACCATACCCCCCCAGTCTCCTCTGTCCGTGGGATTTCCCAGGCAAGAGTACTGGAGTGGGTTGCCGTGCCCTCCTCCAGATGGTCTTCCCGACCCAGGTACTGAATCCGTGTTTCCTGCATCTCCTGCACTGCAGATGGAGTCTTTACTGCTGAGCCACAGGAGAAGCCCATTAATGTGTCACTCATTGCTTAGTGATGGATTTTACCGGAACATCACCAGTCCATCTCCTTGGGATGTAGTCAGTGGGTGTTTTACCTGCTTAGTGAACCTTGATTGAGTCCATCCAGGATCATTTCTAGCAGGGAGGGGGAACCTCTGAGCGTAATAAATCTCCATCCCTGGAGCATTCAAGTGAAAAATCCTCAGCCACTGGAAGCTTAGAACTGTCTATAGTAAGACTTATTTTTAATCTTGGCTTGAAGCCCTCTCTGACATTATTGCTGTTTTGCATTTTATACTTTTTTTTCTAAAATAGTGGAGATAGCTTGATATCCCAACAAGAAAGTATAAAATTCTCCCTTGAGAATTGACAGTAAGTACATCAACCATGAATTGGGTTGTTTAATCTTTGAAGCCCCCTAAAGCAAACTTCATGGGGAAAGGTGGAATTGTGGCAGCAGCTTTAAAAGTTAGGATTGCTTGCTTTTCTTGTTTGCCAAATGTGATGCATTTCTGACCCAGATACTCTTTTAAACCTTTACACTTAAATGATGGGTTTTATATCTCTGGAGAGGAACAAATTCCTTCAAAATTAAAGAATTTATCCAAGAACTGTAATTTAAAAGATAAAATATTTTGAAGCACTGAAAGATACAGAAAGAACAATCTGTGTCTACTGTTTAATGACACAAAATAAAATACCTTTAACATTTTGTATTAAAAAGTAAAAGAAAAATACTTTTCAGATCATCTTTCATATTGAACATACTGCATACTCAGAATGCACAGCTACTTGAGAGGAGGTGCTTTCCATAAATATTTACATACTGATGCAACATGAGTCAGTTGTTACTGTGAAATAGATCTTATGCACACACTTTAAAAAGACTGTAATAGTTCATAAAAAGAACATATACGGGTGCATCCTCTTGTCTACAAGATGAACCTCTACAACGCTCGCGGCTTCTATTGCTCCTCTAGACTTTCATTCCCCTAGTTACGCACTGCGCTGCTTTTTAAAGCCAGTCTTTGTATACTGCTTTTTTTTTATAATCTATCATCTATGCAGGTAACTGTAAACAATAAATCATTTTGTGTTGCCTTGCTTTTAACTTTTTGAATAAGAGAAACCTGCATTCATTCTTCTGTGACTTGCTTTTTCTATTCTACATTAGTTTTTGAAATCCAGCCATGTGGCTATGAATAGCTGACTTTAATTAATTTTCATGGATGTGTGGCTTTTTGATGCATATTGCACCATATTTTACTTATCCATTTTACCATTTTATGTTGATGGACATTTTGATTGTGCCCATTTTTATTTTAAAAATGCTATAAATATCAGTGCAGCTGCTAAGAGACATCTTGCCAGTGATTTTTAAGTTTTTCCTTATGCATAAACTGTCTGACTCCTAATAAGCACAGTTAATTTAGTGAAACAGCATTCGGTGCTGTGGTTTTAGTGGCATGCTCCAATGGTTAAGATGAGTGAATGCTCAAGAACCCACAGTTGCCACATTGGCTGTGCACGCGCACCTGGCCGTTGGCTTCATTACTATCTATTTAAGGATCCGAGAGAGCTGGAGGAAATGTGTTGAAAAAGGTATAATAAGCCTTTCTTATGTATTTTCATAAAATTGTGTTGATATACAGAGAACTGTATTGTTAATATGGTTTCCAAGAAGAAACAGTCTCCCTAAGACAAGTGGAATTGCGAAGGTTAAACATCCCACGAGATGGCATAATGACGTTTCTTCATTACAACTTTCCTATTTTCTAATGTAATTCTGTGGTGGCATTGAGTGGCAAGAATAGGACTTGCAATCACAGCACTTTCTTCCTAACTAGTGTATAAATTTAGAGGAGCTTCTATAAGCATCGCTATAAATATCTAGTTGATTCCTACAGAACAGTTTCAGATACTGATTCAAATGAAGTCAGTCAACTATATATCTTACACCAACATAACAGCATCTTTTTTCCTAGAGAAAGAATATATACTACTTTTAAAATTCAAGTAAAGCCTTTGCCAGATTAAAACAAACAAGTAAAATCAAAATGGACTAATTTACTGATGTTAAATAAAAAGATAGATACTATTTTTACTCAAGGAAAACCAGGAGAGGCAGGTCTAGGACTAATGAGCATGGAGTTCTGATTCTCAGTAGATTTATTATATTCACAGTTTTTATGCACATGTAGAACCTTTGCTCATGGTTTCCATATTTGTCTCCGTGATATCTTGGACTTTCCAGTGCTGTTCTGGGTGAAGTAGGGTAGGTCAGCTGCAGCTTGAGCTCTGCTCCTGAAGACTGTAATGTCCAAAGAGTAGCCTCTGTCAGCATCTGTTCACTTATCTTCTTGCTCAGTGTCTGTCAGTACCAGAACGTGTATGATGTTGACAAAGAAGTGAAGTTCATCCATTCTATGCTCTGTAGCAATATTGGGGCTAATAAAGTCAGTGTTCCTGGGTCATCTAGGTGAAAACCAGTTAATGATATTTGACTTTTCAAGGAAAACAGTACTCCCTGTTCTGAAATACTACGTGAGCAGGTTTCCTTCCCATTACTGTTTTTCCTGATGGATAGTCAACTGCAAGTTTCCAATTATCATTTATGGTCAGTTGGATTTTGTTGTGATGCTTCCCCATGAAAGCAGACTAGTGTGGCTTGCTATTACAGTTTTTATTTTTTCTAATTGAAGGATAATTGCTTCACAGTACTGTGTCGGTTTCAGCCAAACACCAACATTCTTTGTGTTGTTCGTTCGCTAAGCCATGCCCGACTCTTGGCGACCTCCTGGACTACAACATACTAGGCCTCTCTGTCTTCCATTATCTCCCAGAGCTTGCTCAAACTCACGTCCATTGATTTGGTGATGCCATCCAACCATCCTGTCCTCTATTGTCCCCTTCTTTCCCTGCCCTCAATCTTTTCCTGCATCAGGGTCTTTTCTAATCAGTTGGCTCTTTGTATCAGGACAGCTTTTTCACTCTCCTCCATATAGTTAGGGTGACCATATAATTTCAGGACATAGCAATGAAAGAGGTGATTTCAGTGATTATTGCAGGACAGCGGCCTAAACCAAGGCTCTCTGGCCACCTGGAAGTCTCTATTCCATCTTGGCCTGGCAATCTCAGAGCACGCTATCTTACAGTAAAAAGGGTCATCTATATAATGGCAGCATTTCTAAAAGTCCCATCCGAACTCTGTGATCTAGGTATCGCTATTTTAAATTGTACACACCCTCCTGGGTGTCTTTTCGGGGCTGTGCTGGGTCCTTGCTGAGGCATTCAGACTTTCTCTAGCTGTGGCATCCAGGCTTAGTTGCCCCGCCGCATGTGGGATCTTAGTTCTCCGGCCAGATATTGAACCCACACCCCCTGCACTGGAAGGTGAATTTTTAATCACTGGACCACCAGGGAAGTCAGAAGGTATCCCTTTTTCCTTTTTGCCTTTTCTTAGTCTGAGCTTTTTTTGTAATTTTCCTCCAACAGCAGTTTCACTAATAGTCCATTGTATATTGGTGCCTGCTTTTAGGGGTAGTGGAAAGTAAAGCTTTAATAAATTCCCTTCTGTTGAATCTTTGTACTGCATACTTGCATTACAGAGTTGGGGAATATTGAGTTATGTTCAAAATCCCCCGACTGTCCTTCTGTGAAACATTAGCAGGCCAGTGAGCCTATGACAAGCCTAATGAAGTCTCATCTGAGGACCCATTCTGGTGTATTGACATAAAGGACAATTTATTTGTCATCCTCAGAGGTACTTAAACTTCTGAGTCCCTCGGTCATGATGGATATCTTTCATTAATTTAGCAGTAACTACTCACTGTGCACCTCACTGTCCGTTCCAAATCAGGTCAGTGATGAAAGGCCCGCTAGGGCTTCGGGACAAGCATCCTTATGGAAAGGTGTCCCCTGCCCTGAGCTTCTCCCAGGCTGTGGAGCCCTGACTTCCTGACTTTTATATCACACCTGGAGAACAGAGCACTCACTGGTTTGACCTTTCCTTCTTCAAAGTTTCGCTTTCAGAAAGTTTTCCTTGTGACTACTGGATATGGTTTTTCTTTGTCCTAACAGGTATAGTTAGATACTGTGATGTGTTCTGGATGAGTTTGAGGATGGCAATCTCGAGAAAAGGAAGAAAAGAGAAAAGGATTAACTGGATTCCACAAAATTATTTATTGACTTCATGTTTCCTATGTTTTATCCTAACATTCTTAGCCACGAAGTGCAGTGAGGAGAAGCCACCTAGAAGATACAGGGGCTTCCTAGGCGGCTTAGCAGTAAAGAGCCTGTCTGCCAGCGCAGGAGCTGTAAGAGACGTGAGTTCGATTCCTGGATCAGGAGGATCCCCTGGAGGAGGGCGTGGCAGCCCACTCCAGTATCTTGCCTGGAGAACCCCACAGACAGAGGGTCCTGGCCGGCCGTGGTCCACGGGGTCGCGGAGCTGGCCGAGCCTGAAGCGACTTAGCCCAGCACTGCGCAGAGCACAGAGCACGTAAAGGTACCCCAGGTTTCCCCCAAGTAGACCCAGCCCTTCAGAGATTCTCTGATACGTGAAAGGTGTGTGTTTTCACACAAGACAAGAGCATGGTAAAGGAAAGCTGCAGAGCTAAACAGTTCCCTTAAAATTGAAATGTCAAAGTCCCTTTGAGGTTAATTTCTGAGGTTTCATTGTGCCTTTAATGGTTTCACCCTGATGCAGTCCTTGGTTTGTTTTGAATTCTGTTTGTCAGAAATACAAACCATTAAAGCCTCAGTCACTGAAAGAAAAGTATAGAAAAGCTGTATTTTATGAAAAAAAAAAAATGAAAAGTGTGTATTTTATGAAAATTCTCAGGTAGAAAGCTAGCATCCATTATGCAGGAACGAAAAGAGGCTCTGTCTTCAGTTCTTGCTGTTTGAAAGTACACCAGCAATTTCAAGACACAAGTCCAAAGAGAGATGAATGAAAAACACAGAAGTACAATGAGCAAAATCTTTACTTTATGAAATTACTTATTCCATCTGATTTAAAAAATAAGAATCTTATAAAATAACCCCAAACTGTAAATATTAACGTAAGAATTTCTGAATATTAAAATTATTGGAAAATACAAAGCAAAATAGTTAAAATAGTTCTATAAGTGATATAAATGAAACATGGTAAGGCAAAGCATAAATAAAATAGGTAAATTTCAAATCATAAAATTTGCTTGACAATTTTTGGGAATTATTACAATGTTAATCATTTAGTATATTGTCCTTGTTTCATATTTGCAAATGAAAATAAAGTGTTCAACACAGTAAACACTTTGAGCGTTTCTCCTATGTAGAGTTGTAGCTTTCATTCCGTAGGAAGCTGCCTCTGCCTGGGAGATTTGCATGTGGGTGGGTTAGTGGGGGTAATTCTTTGAAACAGCACCTGGAAGGCTGGAAGAGTAACTGTGACGGGCAGAGAGACGAGCTGAACTGCGGGGCAGTCGCAGTGAGGCCTCTGGAGAGCCCAGGGGGTTCTCTGAAGCGGGCGTGCACTTGAAGGACGTCCCCGTGAAGAAAATGGCGTGCATCCACGGTGCTGCATCGCTCCATTGCATCCTCGGGCACTGTTGTTCCTGAGGACAGGCACAGCCTTATGAGAGCTAGCTCCCTGCAGCCCAGCTGCTCCTGGGGAGGGCCTCGGGCTTGGTTAGAGGGGAGTAACGGGACCTGGGCTCTGTTCAGCAGGTTTCTCCAAATTGCTGCCTCTTACAGAAGCATTTCACGGTGACAGCATCCTCTTAGCCTAACTTTCCCCGTCTTCTCCTGCATTGTCAATCTTGCAGTAGGCAAACCTAAGAACCTGTGATTTCTTTAGGAGACAATTCAGGGGAGGGTGAGAGGGCACTCAAAACCCTGCTGGCCTTACAAGTGGAGAAGAAGGTGGCTCTGGACCCCACTTGCTTTGATTTTGATTTTAAAGTCTTGTCCTTGTTCATAATCATTCTAAGAGCATTATCTCTTGGGAGACCCAGGAGGATAAAACAAAACTACTCTGTAGGAATTGCGGTTGGTAACTGCACAGCAAACCAACTAATGGCTGTAACCGAACTTGTAAATTTGACTCTTATTATTGAAACTAATCAAACGTCATTTCTTGATTCCATAGAACATCGTGTTGCTTGTTTTCTCCATTATTCACAATGCTATGTAGTTATGAGATATTGTTAATTTGTTTGTGTATTCATGTTGAAATATATTTGACTAAATGCCTAATTAAAAAAAGTAAGTATAAATTGCTATTAGACCAGTTGTTATCAAAAGTGTTTTTACACTTTTCAAAAGTGTGAATGCACACATGTGGATATTTAACAATATTTAGATGAATTGAGGGTATCCAGGTCAATTCTCAATTTAAGATTATTTTTAAGCATTTTAAATTTATTAAGTCCTCTTATGCCTATAATTTTTTTTCCTGTTTCTGCTCTCACATGCCTTTAGTTCATCTAGTTTAATATCATACTAAAAGGAGAGATATCTTAAATGTGCTTTCAAAAAAAAAAAATCAGACTGCTTAAATTAAAAGTGCAGTAACTCTATTTGTCAGCTTTCACATCTTCCCTTCCTCTCATCTCTCTTTAAGCCTGGCTCTAGTCATGTTTTTACACTTTACCAATACCAACACATTTTATTCTTGTCAGCTCTCTACCACCCTCTCCATGGGTGATGCGACCTTCTCAGATGGTGTTGTTCAGTAACTAAATCGTGTCTGACTCTTTGCGACCCCATGGATTCCAGCACGCCAGGCTTCCCTGTCCTTCACTATCTCCCAGAGTTTGCGCAAACTCATGGACTGAGTCGGCGATACGATCCGACCATCTCATCCTCTGCTGTCCCCCTCTCCTCTTGCCCTCAGTCTTTCCCAGAATCAGGATCTTTTCCCATGAGTCAGTTCTTCAAATCAAGTGGCCTAAGTAAGTATTGGCACTTCAGCATCAGCCCTTCCAATGAATATTCAGGTTGACTTCCTCTAGGATTGATGGTTTGGTCTCCTTGCTGTCCAAGGAACTCTCAAGAGTCTTCCCCAGCACCACAATTTGAAAGCACCAGTTCTCCGGTTCTTGGCCTTTTTTATGGTGCAACTCTCACATCTGTACATGACTCCTGGACAAACTATAGCTTTGACTAAACGGACCTTTGCTGGCAAAGTAATGTGTCTGCTTTTTAATATGCTGTCTAGGTTTGCCATAGCTTTTCTGCTTCAGGTGTCTACTAGCAAATGGAGGTAGCAGTTTTTGCTAATGAGAAATACTGGACAATATTCTTTCATAACTGTTTGTTTCCTCCTGTGTCTCCGTGTTCGTTCAGGCTGTCCTGACAACAGCAGCGCTCACCCTGGATGTGCCGCTTCCGCGGGTGGGTTTCAGGGCTGCCTGAGGCTCATTTCCATTGGCGACGAAGCAGTGGATCCCATCTCCGTCCAGCAGGGGGCGCTAGGGAGTTTCCGCGACCTCCAGATAGACACCTGTGGCCTCACCGACAGGTAGGCAGTCTCCGTCAGCATGCCCGTTTTCAGGGTGTTTTTTGCTTGCTTTTTAATTGGAGGGTGTTTGTTTGGCAATGTTGTGCTGGCCTCTGCCACGCAGCAGTGTGAACCAGCCGTAAGTATGCGTGTCCCTCCCTCTTGGACCTCCGTCCTTCCCCACCGCATCCCGCCCTCGAGGTGGTCGCAGGGCACCAGCTCGGGCTGCCGGCATCATGTGGCAGATCCCCACTGGCTGCCTCTTACTATTTTATATATGGTAATGTCTGTGTTTCAATGCTACTCTCTCAGTTCGTCCCACCCCCTGCTGTTTTCAATTTTTGACAGTAGATTAGAAACAAATAAAAAAGAGCGTCTTCTTGCCCTTTCTCCATTCGCAGTATTCCATTCCATGGGGGAAAATTATATTTATACAGAAAACAAAAATGACAAACTTTAAGTAATCATTTCTTTCCAATGATACTTTTTTAGAAGACACAGTCATGAATTTTCCTTGTATATGCCTCCAGGCTACTTAATTCATACAGAATACTATTGATGCTGTTATAATTATTGATGACTATATTCTTTAAAAATGTCTAGCACTTCAGAGAGCAGATTAGAATATTCTAAAGAGATCATGGAGGACCCAGAAATCAAAATTTTATGTGGTTAGCTGCATTCACCTTACATTCTCTATTCTACAGGAAGAATGCTACAGGAAAAATGAAAAGTAACTCTTTCTTTGATAAAAGTTGAAGCTTTAGGGATTTCTAGTGATGTTGTAAACACAGCAAAGAGTGGAGGATTCAGTCGCCACATACTGAGCGTAGTACCACTTTACAGGAGAAGATAAGAAAGGCAAAGCTTTCAAACAATAGCATATTAACATTTCTAAGCATTGCAACTTTACCAAAGTTATTTGTTAGCCATACTATCAGACTTTAAAGTAATTTTGGCTAAAAGGGATGGCTTAATCATCACACATGCACCTTTTTTCTGTGCCAATATGTCTGACTTCTCTGCAATAGCAGTGCATTAAGTTTGGTTTAACAAATGTACACACCCCAGACATCCCCACACATCCACACATAGGGCACTTTTCAAACGTTCACACTGCAGAGTCCTTTGTGGAGTAAATCTAATCCAAATTTAACACTACTTGAAATTCCCTGTCATCACCAATTAACTGCAAGTTACAGTGCAATTTAGCAATGTATGAGGAGATCACAAATTCCCAGTATGTAAAATACTGACTCACAAGAACTTGGCACTTTAATGCAAATGCCCATGGTCATATGTTCACATTCTATTCATTTGTAGTGGAAAAATTATTTAAATAATTTAGAAAAAACTCTCAATACTAATTTTCAGATTATAAAAAACAATTGGCATAGAAACTATAGCATCATCTGTAAGTTTTAATTGCAGTCATCTCTGGAAGCTTGAGTCTTGGGAGAGGGTTAGAAATGTTCTTTTGGACGTAGAGTGCTGCCCTCACCCATGGGGATGACTTAGTAAGGCAAGAGGGTGAGAGGTCAAGTTCACAGGCAGTGGCAGGGTTGTCTCTTCAGTCAGGAAGCTCAGAGAAAGTTATTTTAGGGCCTGGAGGATTCTATCCCAGCATATGTTGCAATCACAATATTTTTCTCACATAATGGTGGCCCCTTTGTGCATAAAAATTTCTTGTCCAAAAATAAAAAAGCAAACAAACAAACATATCTATGTTGTGTGTGACCAAAATAGAAAATAGAAACATTTTCCACATCACATTTTAAGGAGATTTTCAGATATATATACTAATCTATGGAGACGTCTATAGTGTTAAGCTATCTTCTGTACAATTCAGGTTCATGGAAACTCTGTAAGTGGGTATAAAAATAGCTGTTGGCACTTTGGATGGCCTATATAGTCACTAATTCTAATTTTTTATGGCTTAACATCTAAAGACATGTCCTTATTCTCCATTCTTCTTATTACTAAAGATGTTCATTTTCCTCAGCCCTTTAGTCCATACCTGCTAACTGCATGTCCAATGTACCATGAAATAGATTCACTTAAAAGCACAGCAAAGCAGACACCCCCGCCTGGGCTGTCTTTGGGCGCTATGCACTGTGCCCGGCCATCCGCCTCGCCCACCGCTCTGCCTGCCCCGAGCAAGTCCTAATGTGCTCAAGTGAAGCTGAGCTTTATTATTAAAATGCAGCTAGCTTTATAACTTCTATCCATCAGGCACAGGAATTAATAATTCATAGCAGCATTCCTCCGCACACTGCAAATGCCGCAACGATGTTTGAAATCCAAGGGCTGCTTAGAAAACCTTCCTGATCCACACAAGAACCTGTGCTCATGACATTCTGCCTTCCTGTGGCTCTGATGTCACTTTACAGGGAAGGGCTCCCTGTCCTTTGGGACGAGGCTGGGGGGCAAGGATAGCAGTGAGGAGAGATCACGCCTTACACTCTTTGGGTTTTGGACATTAGGATTTCATGTTGTGTAATTCAGGCTACATAGCCTTTTCAGGTTCCTCTTAGGCTCAAGTATTTGCCATCTCCAGCCATGGACTGTGTTGATGGGGTCACTTTTTCCAGTTCCACTGCTTTTGATCTAACGTTAACCTTCTAGATGCTAAATGCAAAATTGAGAAACATACATCTTGTTTTTTTTTTAAATAAATAATACATTTAAAAGAAAATTAATTACCACAAACTCAAACATTTTGTTTTTGAAAAATCTTATATCCAAACAATTTTAGGTAACCCTATAATATTCTTTATCATAGAAGAGTCATCTTCATCCTGTTAAAAAGTGTGGAATCTATTGAAGCAAGATTTTAGAGAGTTTCAACTTGTCAAAAAGAAAAAAAAGGCAAGAAGCTGCTTTGTTCAAATGGGGGCAGAGGGGATGGGCCGAGCTTGGGTCAGGCCACCTCTTCAGCCCCAGAGGGTCTGCAGAACACGGTCTGAGAAACCGCCCCTCCGAGAGGGTCTGCAGAACACGGTCTGAAATACCGCCCCTCCGAGAGGGTCTGCAGAACACGGTCTGAGATACCGCCCCTCCGAGAGGGTCTGCAGAACACGGTCTGAGATACCGCCCCTCCGGATGCTTGCTGACTGTGCTCCTGACTGTCCATTCCTGTAACTCTTATTGTAATTTGCTGACTGTCAAGCTATGGATAAGGGCTTCCCTGGTGGCTCAGTGGTAAAGAATCCACCTGCAATGCAGGAGACCCAGATTGGACCCCAGGGTTCGGGAAGATCCCCTGGAGAAGGAAATGGCAACCCATTTCCAGTATTGTTACCTGAAACATTCCATGGACAGAGGAGCCTGGTGGGCTACAGTCCACAGGGTTGCGAAAGAGTCGGACATGACCGAGCGACTAAGCATACACACACTTTTTTTTTTTTTGAGTAAATTTCATATACTTGCCTGTATTGATTGAGTCCCTTACAATGAACATTTTAAATTAATACACACATTTTTTTAGAGCAGTTTTAGGTTTGCAGAAAGTATAGAGAGTTCTCCTCTATCTCTTTTTTCCAGTCTCCCTGCACACAGCTTCTGTATTTTTAACATCTTGCATCAGTGTTGTACACTTATTAGAATTGAAGAACTGATACTGATACATTCTTGTTAACCAAAGTCCCTGCTTTACATGGGCTTCCCAGCTGGTAAGGAATCCACCTGCAATGCGGGAGACCTGAGTTCAGTTCCTGGTTTGGGAAGATCCCATGGAGAAGGGAAAGGCTACCGTTCCAGTATTCTGGCCTGGAGAATTCCATGGCCTATGGTCCATGGAGTCGCAAAGAGTCGGACACGACTGGGTGACTTTCACATACACACTGATTTACATTATAGTTCATTCTTTGTGTTAGACAGTTCTATGAGGTTTTCCAAATGCATACTGTTATGTCTTCACCATTATGGTATCATGTATAGTAGTTTCACTGCCCTAAAAATCTTACATGCATCATCTATTCAATCATCCCTCCCTTTTCCCAACCTCCAGCCTGGAAATCACTAATCATTTTACTCTTTTCGTAGTAGTTGTGCCAATTCCAGGATGTCATGTATAGGAATCATGTGCTCCATACATAGCCTTTCATTTAATAACATGAATTTAAGGTTCTTCCAGGTGTTTTTTGACTGGACAGCTCATTTGTTTTTAGTGCTAAACAATATTATATACGACAAGTTTATCCATTCACCTGAAGGACATCTTGGTTCCTTCCAGGTTTTCACAGTTAGCAAAGCTACTATAAAAATTTATGTGCAGGTTTTTGTATGGAAGCAGGTTTTCAGCTCATCTGAGTAAATACGAGGGAGCACAGTTACTGGATCACGTAGTAAGAAGCTGTTGAGTTTTGTGAAATATTGTCAAGCTACCTTACAGAGTGTCTGTGTCATTTTGCATTCCCACCAGCAAAGGATGAGAACTCCCGTTGTCCTCATCCCTGCCGATATTTGGTGCTGCCAGTATTTTGGATTTTTGCTTTCCTAACAAGTCTGTAGTGTTATCTCATTGCTTTAATTTGCATTTCTCTACTGACATATGATGCAGGAGATCTTTCTGTACTTTTATTTGCAGTCTTGGTACCTTCTTTAGTCAGGTGTCTATTAAGATCTTTTGCCCGAGTTTTTAATTGGTTTTGTTCTTATTGTCGAATTTTAAGTGCGTGCGTGTGTGCTCAATTGCTGTCATGTCAGATTCTTGCAAACCCATGGACTGTATAGTCTGCCAGACTCCTCTGTCCATGGGATTTTCAAGACAAGAGTATTGTAGTGGGTTGCTGTTTCTTTCTCCAGTTCCTCTTGTATTTTATACCCCAATCTTTGTTAGATATATGTTTTACAAAAGTTACCTATTAGTTTATAGCTAATCTTTTCATTCTCTTCGTATAATTCATAGAAAAGATTTTTTAAATTTTACTGAAGTGCAAATTACCATTTTTTTTCTTTTGTGGACTGTATCTGAAAAATCATTGCCAAACCAAGGTCACCTAGATTTTCTCCTATGTTCTATTCTGAGAGCTTAATGGTTTTGCATTTAAAAATTCTGAGATCTAGTCTGAGTTCATTGCTGCGAAGGATGTAAAACCTGTGTTTATATTATTTTTTTGCATGTGGAGGCCCAGTTGTTTCAGCCGTATTTGTTGGAAAAGTTGTCCTTCCTTCAGTGAATCGCCCTTGCATCTTTGTTGAAGACGAGTGGGTTATGTTTGTGTAAACTGTTTCTGGGCCTTCTAGCTGTGCCGTCAGCCTGTTTGCTCTTTGCCAGTGCCACATGGCCTTGATTTCCGTAGCTTTATAACAAGTCTTGAAGTTGGGTAATGTTAGTTCTTTGATCTTTTTCATTTTTAATATTCTCTTGGATCTTTTACTTTTATGTATAAACTTTAGAATCAGTTTGTTGACATCCACAAAATTACATACAGTGATTTTGATTAAGATTCCTCTATAGATCAAATTGGGAATAACTGAAATCTTGACAATTTTGAACCTTACTCTCCATGAACATGGAATATCCCCACTTATTTATATTATTTTTGTTCATCAGAATCTTATAACTTTTCTCATATAGATCTTGTGTATGTCTTGTTATATTTGTGTCTAAGTATTCTATTTTTTGATAGTGCTAATGTAAGTGCTGTGCTTTTTATTCTAGATTTCAGTTCATTGTTCCTTTATAAGAAATAATCCTGCAGCTTTGCTCTCATCACTTACTAGTTTCAGAAGTTTTTCTTTTATTATTTCAGAATTCCTCCATAGAGAATAATGTCATCTATGAACAAAGATAGTTTTATTTCTTCCTTCCCAGTCTGCATATCTTTTATTCCTTTTTTTTGTCTGATTGCAGTAGCTAAGACTTCCAGTATGATGTTTGAATCAGAGTGGCGAGAGCAAATCTTTGCTTTGCTCCTACACTTAGAAGAAAGCATCTTGTTTGTCTTCAACAATATGATGTTGTTCTAGGGTTTGGAAAGATTTTTTAAATCAAGTTGATGAAATTGCTCTCCATTACTAGTTTCCCCAGGTGTTTTGTTGTCACTGTTTTCGTTTTGTTTTTTATCGTGAATTGGTGTTAGAGTTTGTCAAACACTTTTTCTGCATCTATTGATATAAACATAGTTTTTCTTTAGCTTATTTGTGTAATAGATTGCATTAATTTTCAAATTATTTTTTTCAGATTTTGGAACAGCCTTCATACTTGCAATAAATTCCACTTAATTATGTTGTATATATTTTTATACATTTTGAATTCAATTTGCTATTACTTTGAGGATAGAATTTATTTTTGATAATGAAAAATTAAATAACCTTCTTACAATTAAAATTTTAATCTTATAAACAAACATTAAAATCTCACCTTTGATTTTGATAAGTGAGATGTAATAGTGTCCATGAGGCATAAGTGGTTATTTGGTTTACCTGAGTGATTTTGTGGTTTATTCAATTATGTGGGGAAAAATAAAAATAAAGCCCTCAGTCGTAAGTGCCCTCTAATTCCTGAGGGCATCCTCAGTCTGACTAAAGTAGATGACATGCAGAATCCCTGGCACTGTGACACTACGTGGATAAAAAAAGTGTCTCCATTTTCCTGCCTTCTTTCCGCCTCTTTAAAATGTTTTCGTATGTACTAAGTCTACATGGCGATATATTACAGTGTGGTATACATAATACATCAGCTAGCTTTGGCTGCACAATAGATTATGTTTAAAACTTACTAGCCCAAAATAGCAGCTGTTTGTTTATCTCGCAATTCTGTATTTGCTGCTGGGCTCTCTCCTGCATCTGTGATTGCCTGAGGGTTCAGCTGACAGCTCCAAGACTTATACTCCTCCCACTCACTTGTCCTGTGGTTTTGAACCCACCGGAGTGACTGGACCATATCAGCCAGCCCAGGTTCCTTCATGTGGCTGTGCTTTCAGGGTTCAAAACTCAGCGAGAGAGAAAACCCACTGTCCAAGCACTTTTCTAGCCTCTGCTGTGTCAGTTTGCTAATGCCTCATCGATCCAAGCAGGTCACATGCCCCACCCAGATTCAAGATGGAGAAGTAAGCTGTACCTTTTGATGGAAGTACCTATAGGTCACACTGCAACGACATGGAAGCAAGGACAGAAAATGTGCTATTGGTGGCCACTGCAGGCAATTTATATCCTTAGTCATGTATGAAATTAATCTTGCCTTATGTGTGAGAAAGCAAACACGTTTTCTGATGTAATGAGATATGTAGAAAATTTGCCTGTCACAAAACTGCCTGTGACAACTGGTAGCATCTAGTGGATTTTTTAGTCTGTAATTGATACTACGTTCGGAAATTTCAATGATAGACCCATGTTAAGTTTTTCTGGTCAATTCGCTGTTGTTATCTGTCTTTCATTACATTTTAAGATATAATTTATCGTGACCACGTGTGAGAAACAGTGCTGTGTCTGCTCTCCCCTAGGTGTCTGCCCAGCTACTGTGAACACGGGGGTGAATGTTCCCAGTCCTGGAGCACCTTCTCCTGCGACTGCGCGCACACTGGTTACACGGGCGCCACTTGCCACTCCTGTAAGCCTCGCCCTCGTGTCCAGGTTCCCACGTGGCTCTGTTTCTCTTTCCATTATTTTGTGTATATGTGCATGTCTGTGCAACTCTGTCCTAGAAAGTAACAACAAAAATAATTACTTTAGACCTTAATTTTTGTCTGATTTATTTAATTTACTTTTTAGCTTTTATACTTTTTATTTTGCATTATTTCATATGAGTGGTACGGCAGCTTACAGAAATACGTGGATCCCAGGGCAGAAAATATAGTAGGTGAAAGAAAATAAGGATAAGAAAATGAAATATAGTCAAAGGTAAAAATAAAATCTAGAATTCATGTTTTATAAACAATGTTCATAAAATTAAGCAGGAAGAATCTCAGAAGTACAGAGTGGAAGCTAACCTGGTTGGGTTTCTCAATATCAGTAAGAAGCCACGTGAACACTCGGGTCCCTTTGTGATCTTGATGCTCCTTGGTGATGATGGTGGTGGTGTTGGTGGTGGAGATGATGATGGTTAATATACTGGAACTTACCATGTACTTGCGTAATTCTAGCTCTCTGCTTATTTCAACTCCTTTAATCCTTGAAACAACTCTAGGAGATAAATGTCCAATTATCTATATTTTGCACTTGAGAAGCTAAGTTTTTTACCCAATGTCACACTCTCAATCACCTCTCATTGGTGTTTCTTTTGTTTAGAAAATCAGGCTCTTTTCTGAAGAATTATTCTTTCATCTTTAAAGCTAACAAATCTTTATGGACGACTAATCCATTATCTACAGGCAACTTATGACAGAAAGCCCTGAAATATCCTTGGTTTTCTAATTATTGGCTGTTGTCTAAGCTTTGTTTTATTGTTTTCCTTATTTCCTTTTCATTACTGACCCTTCTGAAACCCTTCTCTCATAGCACCCCTCCCTCTTGGTCTTCAGAGAGAGACAGCATGATATGAAAATTCACTCATCTCACCACATCAGTCCCTCCTACTGGAATAATATATTGCACTGTTAAGAACTCTTCCCTGTGAATTATTTAATTTTATTTCCACATATGGAAGAAAGGCAGAAACTGGATTGATATAAATTTGTCTTTTTGGGAAGTGAAGCCCAGGGAGGCAGGCATTGGGGTGAGAACCCTGAGTCCCTACCACAGAAGGTTCTGCAGAGGAACTTGAAGTCTCTTGGAAGACAAAAGGAGATGATTCATGCCCTAAATATCCCCTAAACAAGTTCAGCCAGGGCAATCCTACCTGCGACTCAATTTGCTATACTAGTGCCAAGTAAGAATTTGCTAGGGTAACTCTTTATTTGAAAGGACCTAGACATCTGGGAAACCTGAAGCTGAGTGATTTGGCTGAGTCACAGGTTGGAATAAGGTACTCTCTTTCTTAGAGTGTTCTCCATCATACTTATACGAAGCAGATACCAACTGAATATTAATGATTAAGGAGTGATGGCTAAATGCTATCATTAATTGTGATCTAAACATCATTCCAAACAACTCTATAGCATAAAGATTTAAAATGAGCAGATATATATTATGTATTTTATATATATTATACATTCTCTTACACATATGTAAGGTTTTCTGTTTGTGACCCATGATTTGGTCTAATAATTGAATTGACTTTCTTGGAATTCTGCAATTGATCAGTCACAAGAAGACGAGATATTACCAAATCAATGTAAGTGAACACAAGACCATTATTTTGGAGTCTAAGTACACAATTAGTACAAGTGTATATGTTCTTGTTTAAAGCAAGTTTTCTCCTAAGTCATTCCTCCACTACTCTTGTTTTCCTAGGCAATTCCATCCCCGACACAACACAGACACTGTTATCAATCTATGTGTATCCCTCTGGACACTTTTCTAGGTGGTTATAACCATGTGTATATATGATAGAAATGTCAATGTGAGTGGCTGAAAGCAAGCATGGTGGAAAAGCAGCCCATATTGCTTTTCCATCAGTGTCTCTGTGTCCATCAGTGTAAATGATGGTAACCATGCCATTGATTTGGGGGCAATCTAACTTGATACATTTGATACTTGGCCATATTTAATAAAAGGATTTTTTCCTTTATAGAATCTCTGGACAAAAAGCATTCCCTTCTTGTTCTTGTTCTTTGAGATGAGAGAACAAGAACCCCTAAACTTCTCCCAGGACTTTTCTTGATTATTTGAAATAGGCAAAGTTAGAAATGTAGATAATCCAGTCACTATAACATGGCATAAAGCCATATCCTCCTAGGATCACTCTAGTTTATGGATCTTGTCTAACTACCACCTGAGTCTTTCTGTGTGGATGCCAGATTTGATCCTTAGAACTGACTTAAAGATCCAGTCCAACTCTGTGCCAGAATTAGTGCCACACTTCCCTCCCAGCAGCCATTAGCAGCTTTTCAGGTTTTCAAAGGGTTTTTCCTGTCAAGGCAAAGGGTGATGTGCAAGAGAGCTGTTACTTGATTGATCATTCATTTAAATGCATGCTGAATATTAATTGAGTTCATCAGATGCAGATGCTAATCACTTGCCTTGTAAAACATTCATTGTATACATAGAAAATTCATTTATGAATTAGGATAAATTGAAACTACAAAGAGACTTTTCATATATATTTCTTTGAATTTTGATTTTCTTGAATAATCATTTCCAAAGCATTTTAGGAAGCTTCTTTTCAAAATGAACTTTAAAAATGGAGTGTAGAGCTGCTGATTTGTGAAATCCATTTCATTGAAAAAAATGCATTTCATGTGGAAATTGTCTTAAGTAAACAAAGAATATAATTACTGAGTAATTTTTAAAAAGCAGCATGATTATTATATAATAACAGATCATTTAGGGATATTAAGCCAATGCATTTCAGATTCTTAGATGTTCTGAAACAGCAAAGAATTAGACTAGAGCCAATCCAGTTACCCTGATTTTGACAGGAATTCTGTTTCCAGAGCACAAGCATTCAGATCCATGTATCCCATAGTGATACTTCCTAAAGCCTTTCACTCTGTGCCTGAGAATCTTTACGCCGCCCGAGTGAAACAGGGAAACACTCCTCTAGAGAAAACGTCCCTGAGAGCAAGGCGGAGTGAGTGTCGCTGGGGAAAGCGTCACTTAATTCGCACCGTGGAGGGATTCGTCCCACTGTCACTCCTGTCTGAGACCTCTGTCCCCCGCAGCTCTCTACGAGCAGTCATGCGAAGCCCACTGGCACAGAGGCGACTCTTCAGGGCTCTATTATATCGACTCAGATGGAAGTGGCCCTCTGGAACCATCCCTGGTATACTGCAACATGACAGGTATGCTAATAAGCTTTTTTAATGACAAACTCATGTGGAAACTTGCTGTGCAGGAAAACCAGGTGCAGTGAGCAGTTTACCGAGTGGCAGCTTTACTTAATGTGCATTTTGATTGTAATTGTAATATGATTGCTAAGAAGTATTAAACGTAATGTTCTAAAATAGTTAAGAGGTGGTAATTAAAAGTTATGTCATTTTCCTGGAAATGTTCTTTCTTTATGCAAAAATTAGCAATAAATTGCTGCTTATTAATCTACAACATAAAAGGGAAAACTTTATTTCTTAGTTCATGATAATATGTGCGAAAGTCTTAGGAGAATGTTCACTTCTTAAATTTATGAAAATATCCATTTATATTCCTTTGAATCAGGTGAGTTCATCTGCGTGCATGCATGCTAAGTCGCTTCAGTCCTGTCTGACGCCTTGTGACTCTGTGGACTGTAGCCCGCCAGGCTCCTCTGTCCGTGGGATTCTGTAGCAAGAATACTGGAATGAGTTGTCATCTCCTCCGGAGGAGGGTCTTCTGGACCCAGGGGTTGAACCCGCATCTCTTATGTCTCCTGGGTTGGCAGGCAGATTCTTTACCACTAGCACCATCTGGGAAGCCCTGAGTAGGACTAACACACACACCAAGTGTATATACTTCGTCTAATAATACTATTCACGTGCAACTATATAAATACTATTTCATCTTCCTTAAAAACCTGATTGTTAATATGTGTTAAGGGACTTGTGTATTACATAGTGTTTATGACGCCTTAAATTCTTTAAAACTTTTTAATTTAAGCTCTCTGCCAAATATATAGGAGCGCAAAGGACCAAAACTTCCACTGCAATGATTGACAACTGCCCTGATGAAACTGATACAAATTTTTTATATCTCTTCTCTACCTGTATCTGTGTGTGTCTGTACCCATAAATTTTTCTCCATGCTCATATAAGATTTGCCCAATAAAGAGGACAAACCTCCTTTAGAAATCTTTCTGTTACTCTAGCAGTGTAGCCCTAACAGATACTTCAACAACCACAGAATTTGGGTGCAAATTCTGAGATAATTATCAGAAAAAAACCAACTGTAGATGGTTCTTAGGTGACTATAAATTAGTTATAGTTTGGTTTCTCTGTTGTTATGGCTCCGCATCACTCGGGAAGGGTTGCAGATCTCACAAGGAAGAAATTATTTATGGGTAAACTTATAATGATGGTTTGTGAATAGCTTGCAATCCTAATGTGGTTTTTATAAGAATGCCTATTGTCATTTCATACATGAAAAAGATCTAAGCATTTTTGGCGGTGGTTAATATGTGATCTGATCTAAATTCAGTCAAACATGTATTCCAGTCCCAAAACCACCCCCAAAATTATTACAGAAGATGCAGGAACTCCCAGGGCATTGCACTGGTGTGAGTATGGCTGTTTGGGGCTTTTGGGCAAATAGTTTATCATAAATACTGACCACAGTATTTCAGTGTGATGATAGAGTTAAATACGTCAACTTACTTTGACTGAAAGATGTGTGATCAGTGAGATAGGTGAGGAAACGGCCCAGGGGGCCTTTCTAGGTATACTGGACCCCAGTGGTTTATAACCTTCAAGTGGTTCAATTTCTGCATTGATTTGCTTTCATTACCATGACTCAAGTGAATGCCAAGAACAAAGAAAGCTAAATAAAGAAGATAGCATCCCAGTAATACATTTCCTTTATGTCAATTAGGTTCTTAATTATCACAAAAGTCTAGGGCATGTTAAAGATTTTCATATATATTATGTTGGGTTAATCCTATGAGCAGAGTTCCATATAAGGACTAACACACACACCAAGTGTATATACTTCGTCTAATAATACTATTCACGTGCAACTATATAAATACTATTTCATCTTCCTTAAAAACCTGATGATGGTTTGTGAATAGCTTGCAATCCTAATGTGGTTTTTATACGAATACCTATTGTCATTTCATACATGAAAAAGATCTAAGCATTTTTGGTGGTGGTTAATATGTGATCTGATCTAAATTCAGTCAAACATGTATTCCAGTCCCAAAACCACCCCCAAAATTATCACAGAAGATGCAGGAACTCCCAGGGCGTTGCACTGGTGTGAGTATGGCTGTTTGGGGCTTTTGGGCAAATAGTTTATCATAAATACTGATCACAGTATTTCAGTGTGATGATAGAGTTAAATACGTCAACTTACTTTTACTGAAAGATATGTGATCAGTGAAATAGGTGAGGAAACGGCCCAGGGTGCCTTTCTAGGTATACTGGACCCCAGTGTTTATAACCTTCAAGTGGTTCAATTTCTGCTTTGATTTGCTTTCATTACCATGACTCAAGTGAATGCCAAGAACAAAGAAAGCTAAATAAAGAAGATAGCATCCCAATAATACATTTCCTTTATATCAATTAGGTTCTTAATTATCACAAAAGTCTAGGGCATGTTAAAGATTTTCATATATATTATGTTGGGTTAATCCTATGAGCAGAGTTCCATATACACTGAAAAATTCCAAGAATTGTAGAAAGGTGGAAATAATCCCAAATAACATGTTCCCAGATGAGTAAAGTTTCAAAGGTATTTGTTGATAATTAACTGTTGGCAGGCTTGGTAAGGCTGAGGTCAAGTTTATAAGTCTGCTGAGAGCTGATTGCCTGATCTTCTCCAGTTTATGGTTGTAATAGAAGAAAAACATTTTAATCATCATAGTGAACACATGATCTAAGCTTCGCCATGAAGCTTCTTTGTGCGTATTCCTAAAGCCCATTTGGAATGTGTAACTGTCTCAAAGGTGTTCTGTTTCGATGCTTATTGCTGCAATAGTTGATACATTTTGATTCCCTGCAATTGCTGCTGCCTCTTCAGAGTGAACCTGGGTCCCTAACACCGCAGACAAGCATAGTTATCAAAACGCAAAGGGGCAGTAAGAGCAGATGCTCAGCTTTTGATTTCAATTAACTTAGGATAATGCTTGATGATATATAAGCATGTTTTTCTTACCCTAGAGATAAGAAAGAACCTCTGAATAAGGGAGGGAAAAGGTAAAATCTACTGATTACCCATCTTGATTAATTTATATACATGATGGCCTTGAAAACTGTCTGCCAAGGGCATGAATCATTCCCTTTCCCAGGGTGATGTGAAGAAATGTCCAAGTTAAGGCACAAAACTTAAAAGTTGCAAGAAAACTTCTGACAACATTGAACACGTGTACTCAGCGCCTGCCCTGAGCCAACACAGCTGGGGTCATAACAGACTGTGAATCTGAACACCTCCCTCCCATGGGCGGGGGTGCTTTTTCGGGTGGGGAACCAAACCCTTGATAGAAGTGAATCAAATACGTGGCATGTTGTAAGGCGGTGGGTGCTGTGAAGCAGAACAAAGCGGGGAATGGGGCACAGACCGCAGAAGGACGGGTTACAGTTTTAAATAGAGACATCAGGAAAGGACTCAGTTGGAAAGTTGACATTTGCACTTACTACATCAAAGCAGCAGCACTGAGACAGGAGGTGCAGTCTTCGGGGGGCGGGGGAGACCTCCAGCCACAGGGAGCCTGGCCTGTTGGACCGGCCCGGGCGGAAGGACCAGGATGTGGCCTTCCCTCAGGTCATGTGTCTGGAAAGGGCCTGGTCCAGATTTCACACAGTTAGGACCTTTAACCATCATGGTGCACCAAGAGGGGGCAAGGAGACCGGTTAGGACTTTGCTCTAGTAATTTAGCCAAGATGGTGGTGATGGTGGGGAGCAGGGTGGAGAGGAGGAGAAGAGAAAGGTTGCTTTAGAACCATTGGACCGGATATGGACGGAGAGAAAGAGAGGCATCAAGCAGGGCTCCTGTGTCTGGATCTGACCCCTGGACGGAAGGTGCAGTTATTGTTTATGGAGATGGAGAATTCTTGGGAAGGACCAGGTTTTAATGGAAGACCAGGATTCCAGTTGTGAGCATGTGAAGTTCGGTTTGCCTGTTGGTCATTTAATTAGATAGTAGGGATCTCTTGTTTATTAAAACAAGTGTATTTTTGCTTTTATTTCCAATATTCTTGGAGGTGGGTCATAGAGGATCCTGCTGTCATTTATGTCAGAGAGTGTTTTGCCTATGTTCTCCTCTAGGAGTTTTATTACTTTACAATATTGTAGTGGGACAAAAACCACTACAATATTGTAAAGTAATTAGCCTCCAACTAATAAAAATAAATGAAAAAAAAATAAAACAAGTGTAATATATCTTCTTAAAGCCTACTGGGTGGTTATAATATCCTTGGCAATACAAACCTTTAAAAATATAGCTTGGACTGTGACTTTACAAATCAACCTGCCCGGCTGGCTGTCCTTTGCTTTACTGTCACTAGCGGACACTGTCCAGCAGGATGAGGCTTTTCCAGGTCCCTACACGTTTGTCCCCCTAGGGAAGCTCTGCTTTCTGCAGAAGGATCCTTTGGCAGCATCCAGGAAAGGCTGTATTATTATTATTAAGCTTCTCTACAGATGCTTAGGGCTTTCCAGGTGGCACTAGGCTAAAGAACTGGCCTGACAAGGCAGGAGACATAAGAGATGTAGGTTTGATCCCTGGGTTGGGAAGACCCCTTAGAGGAGGGCATGGCAATTCACTCCAGTATTCTTGGCAGGAGAATCCCATGGACAGAGGAGCCTGGGAGGCTACAGTCCACGGGGTCACAAAGAGTCAGACACGACTGAACACAGCCCAGCCCAGAGATGCTTATTTGCACACGGGTTTAGGAACCACTGTCGTAAAGCTGAGGAGCTTTGATTTCAGTAAGCACAGCCTCCTCTATCTTCAAAAAATTAAAATGGTAAGGGAGTAAAGGGCACCACACAATGGAGAAATAAAACTAATGGAGATGTAAAACTTTGGTGCCACTATTCATTTCACAGTCCAAGCAATTATTCTGTTGTTCCTATTAATGTAGATTGCTGTGGGTGAGGTTGCCTGATCCATCACTGAATCCTTGTGACTATGATTTGTCCACAATGCAACAAGAAT